GAAGAAAGGACAATTGAACACAAAAACAGAGTTTGAATCTGGTATAGATTTGCATAAGATGAAAGCTGCTATAAAAGTGAGGTGTCTTGCAGAGGACCCCGGGTCTCGTCTTGTCAACCTGGGAGCATCGATCCGGATCAGCAGAAGCCCGGCTCCACCCCTTCCCCCATCTAACTCACCTGGCCAGTGAAGTTAAGGGGAGCAACTAATTGGTATGAAGTTAAGGGGAGCAACTAATTGGTAACAACAAGACGGAGTGTGTTTGTGAGTGTAAGTGTAATATATTATATGCATATAATACAGTGTTAATGAATACATGTATTACTAATAAATGTGGCGTTTTGTCTTATTCCCCCTGAAAAGATCCTGTGCAGTACTTTAAGTACAACACAGGCCACGTCCTCTTCCCCTCTCCTGGCCAGAGCTTGTCCCACTGCAGAGCGGGAGGGAGGGGAGCAGCCAGGGGCCAGTGGGGCTGGGTCGCTCGCTGCCTGGGGAAGGCTTTGGGGAGCCGTGGGGCACTAGCCACACCCCGCGCACACACCCCGTTACTGGCTGTCAGGGGCGCTGTCATCCCAGTGGGTGATACCGAGGCAGGCGCCTCTCGCCCAGCCGCCCCCCAGCGATGGTTCGGCCTTTCGTTGCCCCTGAGAGCATCCCCAGGAGCAATGTGTCCCTGCAGAGCTGTCTCAGGCTCCAGACGCTGTCTCACGATCCTGAGCTTCGCCCCCTCTCCGAGCATGCCGGGCAGCAGCTGGATCTCACTGCGTTGAGCAGCAGCATCTCCTCGGATGGCTTCTCGGCAGCTTGCAACCTGCTGCGCAGGGAACTTGGGGGACACAACTGCCTGCCCCTCCTCGGCCAGGCCGCCCAGCACAAACTCGGGGAGAGGGGGAGAGCTCTTCCCCTACAGCCCCCACACTGCATCATTTCATTACCACCACAACCCACTGCAAACTCCTGTCCGCTGCTTCCTGCTCTCTCTCAGCTGTGCCTGGTCCCCAAGTTTCTCCTCTCACTGAAGGGAGAAGAACTGGGCCATTCAGCTTGGGCCCGTCTCACTTTCAAGCCAGCTGAGCTGTGAAACACCCACACCACACGCTGTTCAGAAAAACACTTTAATCTTCACTAACAAGCCGCACAGCTGCTGCTATCATATTCAGCGACTCCATTTCGGGACAGAGCCCTGTGAAACTGACCAGCGAATACATTCCCTGGCCCCTCTTTTCCGGTGAGGGACCAGCTCAAACCTTCCAGGCCCTTTTATTAATAAAAACAATTCAGGCCAACAGGAAACCCATTAGCTCTTCAGTAACTAACCTACTGGGGATTTCAGCCCAGGCCCGTGGGATCATTTTAAACAATAACAGCCTGACCCAAAGGGCCACCATCCATCCCGGCTCCCTGCGCACCAAGGGAACGGGCTGGGAGGTTGCTCAGCGCTAGGACTGGATAGCTACCCTAGTTCCCTTCTCGTTCTCTCCGGTGTTAACCAGGCCTGAGTCCGGTGGAGTCAGCAGGCCTCATTCTTCACTCAGTCATTTGAGCAGTAGGAGAATCAGAGCCCCTGACTTTTTTTGAGAGAGGTAACACAGAGCACCAGGGCCCCCAGCATCACGCCTCCAATCAACGGGACGGTGTCCTCTGCTGGTGTAAGAGCAAAGACACCAATGGCAGGACATTGGTTTATACCAGCGGACGTTCTGGCCTGTCTTTACCAGTAGGGCTAAGACCCATCCCGCTGACTGCACCCAGGACCAGCTGATGCACTGCAGGCCGTCGCTGGGCCACGTAGCAGAAATTAGACCCCAGTCCCCTAGAAAGGTCTTGCCCCTCAACCCCTGCTGGGAGTGAGCTCTGCGGCTCCACCTATAACCCTCTGCCCATGCCCCATGATCGTGCGTTAGTACAAGAGTGGACTTTGCCTTACGCCCACATCGCCCCCCAAAATGGGGAGGGAACTGTACCAAAGCACTGCTAGGCCCCGGTTCTGGTCTTACGTAGACCTGTGTGTATCTGGAGTCACTCCACTGGAGTCTTTCCAGATTTACACACTTCAGAATCCGACCCTTGGTTTATGTCAGCAAAAGGCCTGAGTGTCTACCACGCCCACTGGCTTTGCTGGGATGCGAGCGCAGTGAGAACAGACCTGAAGGTTACGTTCCCCATAAACTCCTGGACAATCAACAAGTGGCAATTTACATTTGTCTAAGGGCTGCCCTGTATGGTATTCTCGTGAGCACTGCACTACCCATAGCTTGAAGGAGCTGGGTTCTAACCCCGTAGATAAATCTCTGATAATTTTCATACGACTTTACATTGCGCCTCTTCATCTAACCTTGTAGTGGGTCTACCCACGTGTGACCTCTGTTTTCCTCAGACTTTGTATCAAAGCCTAATATAGAAACCTTGTACTGATGAGCCTTGGTGTACGGAAACTTTGTGTTAAGCCTTGGTATAATGTTATAGGCCCTAAGGATAGTTAAAGTAGAAGGAAAATGTCTTTTTGCTAGGAGTAGAATAAGACCTCCCCCCACCCCCCAACTCGCTTAATCAATTGCCCTGTTGAATGAATGTGGTGTGAATGAGCAAGGCATGGAAGGCAGCACCTCCAGACAGCTGCAACAGTTGGAGAGGGGCTGGGAGCCAGAGCCAAGGACAATAAAACGTGTCAAGTGGGCTCACTAAAGAAGAGCAGACATGCTGACGGACTTGGGGGGTAGAAGCAGGCACCTTCTTTTGGAAACACCCTCTTTGCAGCATTGGGACAACCCCCAGAAGGAAGCAGCACAAAGGACCAATGGACACAGATACAGATTTCGAAGCTGGTACAGATTTGCATGAGAGGGAAGCTGCTATAAAAGTGAGGTGTCTTGCAGAGGACCCCGGGTCTCGTCTTGTCAACATGGGAGCATCGATCCAGATCGGCAGAAGCCCGGCTCCACCCCTCCCCCATCTAACTCACCTGGCCAGTGAAGTTAAGGGGAGCAACTAATTGGTAACAACAACAAGACAGAGTGTGCTTGTGTGTAGGTGAGTGCATGAGTGTAATATATATATCATATGCATATGATAGTGTTAATGAATACATGTATTACTAATAAATGTGGCGTTTTGCCTTATTCCCCCTGAAAAGATCCTGTGCAGAACTTTAAGTACAACAACCCTCCTTCCCCAGAACCACGCAGTCTAATTAGCGTGGGGGGAGGGAGGGGTATTTTGCTCACCTGCCTGTGAATCTGGATTCACATCAGACAGGCAACGCCCCGGGCATCAGCTGGCAGAAAAAACTCTTCCGTTAACAGAACACACAGCGAGCTCCCAACCCACCTCTCTGCAGCTTCCGAACGGAAACGTGGCCGAGAAGAGCTGAAAATTCCTCATTAGGGGGGTAAAAAAACCACCTCAAACAACTATTTTTTTAACCCCCTCACACTCTGATGACACAATGGAGATCATCATTCCGGCTCACGTGAGAGATTCGTGGAGACCCGCTCCGGGCTCTCAGCTGAGTTTCACCATGACTGTGGAGTTGGTGATCCGTGCGCCGTAGTGTCCTCGCCAGAAAAGAATGTCCTTCCCTTTGTGGAGGAAATGCACATACCGGACGCCGCGGCCGTACTGCCTGAACCGGTAGGACACCTGGGAGGGAAGGAAAAGGAACCCAAATTGATCTCTGGACCCTGTCACAAATCCGTGGGCTCCAGAGAGAGGAGGTAGGGGCTACACAGACTGGGGAAGATATTCTTGCAGGGCAGGGGCTGGCCAAAACGGAATAGCTCCTGTGCAGCGAGGGGGGGTCGGAGAGCAGGCGCCTGCCCCACACTCCCCCCCAGAGTGGGGGCCTCAGTTCCCTGTAAGGTGCATGGCCGCGCAGCAGCCTATTTAGTGCTGTGCAGGGGCTCAGGGAACCCGCCCGGCCGGGACCTGCCGCAGGCGGGGCGCCCCACCCCCAACTCAATCCCCAGACCTGCCACGGTCGGGGGAGGGGTGACCTGAAACCAGCCCTATCGAGGACCTGCCTCGGCCAGGGAGAGAGGCGCCCCAGCCTTCCTGTGGACGGGGGATGGGCGCCTATCCCATGGCCCCAGCCCCGGAGCTGCTGCAGCAGGGAGAGGGGCCTCTCCCCCAAACCCAAGTGCTGCTGTGGGGGGAGCCCTCACTCCCTGCCATAGCCCCGGAGCACCCTCCTGCACCCCAAACCCCTCATCGCCAGCCCCACCCCAGAGCCCGGACCCTCAGCCAGCGCCCTCACCCCCTGCACCCCAACCTTCTGCCCCAGCCCTGAGCCCCCTCCCACACATCCCTTCCATATTGGTGCACAGAACCAGGGTGGATACAAATCAATGGTTTAAAAAAAAAAAAATCAGATTTTTTGGATAAAATGCTTTTTGAGGAAAAAACTTATCTAAAGCTAGTTTTAATTACGATATCTTTGAGCTGTAACGTATCTCATCATGGAATAGGGATTATACCTTCTAATTCTATAGTATGAGACAATATATTCATGTCATGTTGAAGAAAAGTTTTGTAAATGAGTTCCAACACTTCATGGATTAGGGACCCAATCTTACAGGCTTCCAGGGGCTTCTGTATAGATTATTTGGGTCAGAGGTGGGCAAACTACGGCCCGTGGGTCCGTCCTGTCCGACCCTGGAGCTCCCGGCCGGGGACGCTAGCTCCCGGCCCTTCCCCTGCTGTCCCCCGTCCCCCACAGCCTCAGCTCGCCATGCCGCCAGCGCTCTGGGCGGTGGAGCTCTGAACTCCGGTTGGGCAGCGCGGCTGTGAGAGCCGCCGGCCTGCCCCGGTGCTCTAGACTGCACGGTGGCATGGCTGGCTCCGGCCGGGCGGCGCGGCTGCCAGTCCTGGTGCTCTGAGCATGGTAAGGGGGCGGAGAGCAGGGGGGTTGGATAAGGAGCAGAGTGTCCCAGGGGCCAGTCAGGGGACAGGGAACAGGGGGTGGTTGGATGGTGTGGAGGTTCTGGGGTGGGGGGTTGGTCAGGGGATGGGGAACACAGGAGTTGGATAGTCGTGGGAGTCCCGGGGGAGCCTGTCAGAGGGCAGGGGGGTGGATAGGGGTCGGGGCAGTCAGGGGACAAGGAGCGGCGGGGTTGGATGGGTCGCGGGTTCTGAGGGGGGCGGGAAGTGGGAGGGGGCGGGGGACAGGCTGTTTGCCGAGACACAGCCTTCCCTACCCGTCCCTCCATACAGTTTCGGAATCCCGATGTGGCCCTTAGGCCAAAAAGTTTGCCCACCCTGATTTAGGTCTTTTATCTACCCAATGGGACTCAGTGCTCAGTCTAGAAGATACCATCAGAGATGCTTAGTTTTGCAGTTCTCAAACTGGATTTGTGTCTCCAGAGATAACATGCTTGTTAACAGCAAAAATGTTTTTAAATAAAAAAATATATATAGAGAGAGAGGTGAGAAATAACAGACCTCAACCCTATTGTCCCTCTGCAAATTTGTGTACACACAGTCATTCTCTTACTTCTCTCTCTAAAAGTGCAAAGTTTCAAGAAGTTCAATGAATAGAAGGTTGTTGGGGGCGGAACAGATCTGGACAAGGAGAAGAAGTCTGGAGATACATGTGAGAAGGGAGGGACAGGCAATAGAAACAAAAGTGAAACTGTTTGAGCAGCATAATCCAGAAATCTTGAGTGTAGCCTTCATTGATTTGAGATCTACCATACCATTCTCTCACTAGAAGGGAAAACCTATAATGGCAGCAAGCCATAAAAGAGACCCAATTTGGGTCTCATCTATCTGAGTTGTGAGGAATATGTATTAAGATTATACCAACCAACAAGAATGCACTTTTATGTTGAAATACATGATTTAAATCACTAGTCAGGAAGACTTGATTTAATCGCGATTTAAATCAAATCCACCCTGCACATAACAAAATTCATTCTGCACATGGGTGGGAAAAATTAAAGGGAGCTCTGGTGGTGACTCCCATCCCACAGGTCTGGGCCCGGCTCCAGCCGCTTGCAGAATTCGGAGGAGCCCGCTAGAGTGTCACGTAACACGAGTGTCCGTGCACAGGTGGGGCCATTCCCACCTCCTTCCTGGCCTTGGTGCAGCTGGAAGCAGAACTTTTCCTGCCGAGTGGGGCAGGCAGGAATAGTTTGGGGGGAGGATGAGCGCCCACTCGCCCTAGCTATCTGCCGCCTGTGGTGGGCTAGTGGATAGAGGACTGGATGTCAGGAGACCCGTGTTCTATTCCACTCTCTGCCACCGCCATACGCGCCTCCACTCCTCCATAGTAAAACATACATAATTTTACAAATTACGCCCACTTCATCCCTACCGCTTTTCCATGGTAGATCTCAAAGCGCTTTACAATAGAGCTTGGTATCGTTATCCCCCTTTCACAGGGAAACGGGGGCACAGGGAGGGGAAGTGACTTGCCCAAAGTCAACCCAGTGGCTGAGTCGGTACTAGAACCCAGGTGTCCTGACTCCCAGTCCCCAAATGTTCCCAGAGAGCTGACAACGGAGCCGGCTCACCTGGTGATACTGCGAGTCATTCGACTGTTCTAAGCGATCGGGGTTGGCCTGGAATTCAGCGATTACAGTTGTTCTGTTGGCAGCCAGGAGCTTGACGCAGATGGAGTATACACCGCCAGCGCCTTGCCGGGCGCCCCACCTGCGGGAGGGGAACAGACGTTGGGGAAAAAGGAACCTCAGGGGGCAGCAGGAGGGAGACAGGACACAGCCCCCCGAATATAGATCGTAAGAGGAATCCTGGGAACACACACAGACAAATCCAACACATGCAGCACCACCGGATTTTTGGTTCCCATCAATCAGGGGATTGCACCAGCATCTTAGCTCCAAGCACTGTAACATCCTCACCCGCTGGTCTTGTCTAGCCCAGCAACTTCAGGGAAGCCCGACTACAATCCTAGCCAGCAAGTCCGAGAGCAGACGTGACCTGCGACGTGCATTTGACACAAGCCCCTGACCAAGAGTTGGTCGGGAGAAACTCACTGTTAAAAATCCAACCGTTCTCACTGCTTTAATTGAGGCCTAACAGGGCTCCCAACCCACATCTCTGGGTCCTCCGAGGGGACCTCCAGCTAAAAAGCAGATCAAACAAGGTGCAACAGGCTTGATATATTTAGGGCTTAAAAAAACAACAACCCCAATACAAACCCCCAAACTCTTTGATTCTGAAGCACAGGTAGGGGCCCATTTTTTTTCAGCAGGTCACCATTAAGGCCTCTAGGGAGAAGAGGGTGAAACTTACCAATCGGAGACGTAGATTTCCGGTTGGTAGTTATCCAGCAGTTCTTCCCACAACCCCTCCTCTAGAAGATCTACCATCTGCGATTTGACACACCACCTACAGAGGGGGAAAGGAAACCCTAATGACATATTGCAATAGCACCTAACTGAGATCAAAGCCACATTGTGTTGGGCGCAGAACAGACTCTGTGGACGCTAGGGGGAAAAAAGGGGTATTAGTGGACAGGTGTTGAAATCCTGCTGTAGATAAGGCAGCTGTGGTTTTAACATGTTGGCAGGCCAAGATGAACTCTAGGAAGAGACAATCACGGTCCCACAGAGTTCACGGTGCAGACATGGTGGGCAAAGGGTGGGAGGGGAAACCGAGGCACGGACAGAGGAAGTCCTTTTTGCTCACGGTCACCCAGCAGAGCCAGGAACAGAGCTCAGCTGTTCAAGCTTCCAGGCACTGCCCCAGTATAGCTCCCTGTGTAGACAGGCAAAGCGGCCATAAACTATGATTTAAACTCATGGGGTCAGTTTCCCCCAGTGCAAATAATGTCTGTTATAGGAGTTTGCTGGGGCAGCTACGCCTGGGGCTGGAATCGGGGCAAATCAGCCGTGCAGAGAAGGCCTCGTAAATCTGGAGTGACACCGTTCCCAGTTCTCCTCTGCCAGGCACCTTGGGTCGATACCGACACCTGGGTAGAGTGTGTGTGTTTGTGTGTGTCATGACGACACAAGGGCAGCACAGAGTCAGGGCCTGCATCTGATCTTGGTTATACTGCTGCAAATCCAGAGCAACTCCAGATTTACTTAGGGCTTGTCTACACTGGCAAGTTTCTGCGCAGTGAAGCAGCTTTTTGCGCTCAAACTGCGGACATCTACACACTGCCACCTTGTGCGCCAAACTCCTCAGTTGCAGCGCTGCAAAAAACCCACCTCGAGAAGAGTCGTGAGGCTGTTTGCACAGAGGCTCCAGCGCTCATTGCCAGTGTAGACACTTGATTGCTATTGCGCTGTAATTGGCTTCCGGAGCTGTCCCATAATCCCTCAAGTGACATCCCAGGGTTTCCCCGGTTCCCTGCCTCAGGACTGGTTGCATCCTGCCACTGTCTGAACTCGGACAGCATCTGTCCCCCAAAACACACTGTGTCTCCCCCCCCCTCCATACACACACACACTCCCTGTCACACACTCTCGCCCCCTCCCCACCCAGTTGAAAAGCAGCTGGCAATGTAGTAGGAGGCCCATGGAACAGTGGGATTGGGAAACCTGCATCATGTGACACTGCGCCTGCCCATGAGGCATTGCAAACCCTTCCCAAAGCCCCCTGCGGCCAGTTGCACAGGGGGAAGCTCCCACAATGCACTGCTGTCTTTGCCCCTTGCAAGAGCTGCTAATGTGGACGTGCTCCAGCGTCACAAGGAGCACAGTGTGGACACACAACAGCGGTTTAATTCCAGCACTTTAATAAAAGTGACAAGGAGTCCGGTGGCACCTTAAAGACTAACAGATTGATTTGGGTAAAGCTTATACCCAAATCAATCCGTTAGTCTTTAAGGTGCCACCAGACTCCTTGTTTTTGTGGATACTGACTAACACGGCTACCCCCTGATACTTAATAAAAGCGGTATAACTTGTGGTGCAGAAACTTGCCAGTGTAGACACACCTTTAGACCATGTCCACAGTAGGAGCACTTTGCCGGTATAAGAATCCCAGGATACCCTGTTGGCCACTAAAACCACCCTCCCTGAGCAACACAAACTCTCCTAGTAACAGTGCACCGTACTGTATCACTGAATCCACACTGGCTAGCACAGCTCTCTTCCCAACCCCTGACCGACAGATCTGTGCCGGCAGAAATCTGTAGCGTAGCCCTGGCCTAAATCCAGAGCCACTCCGGATTTACTGGTGTGTACATATATTTGGGACATGACAGTACAAGGTGCAGGGCAGACTCTGGCCTGGCACCTCTGGGTCTCATTTATGCTGGGTCAATCCAGAGTGACTCTGGATTCACAGGGGAACACGCAACATCAGGATCGGTCTGGCCTTTGGAGAACAGGTAGCACTCTGCCGCATGGGGAAGGTGGGGGGCAAACAGGAAGGCCCAGGGGACAGACTCACTGAAAGGATGAGACGAAGCAGGTCTGGGCCGGGGCGCCCTCGACCGGGCAGAGGTTCTCTTCCACATTCCAGCCATTGCCCCCATGCTCCACCTGCCAGTGAGAGAACTGATCTGTGGGAAGACGATGCGTCAAAGGGGGGGTGTAAGGAGCTGGTTTGATGGGGTGGGGGACGACATCCTGGTGGGCACCCGACACCCTGGTGGGCACCCATTCCCATTCCTATGGCCGATCTTATGGTCCCCCCCCCCCCGCCCTAGACTCTCCTCGCCTCCTCCCATAACCCCCCCGCTTTCCCCCATCCCTCTCCCTACAACCCCCATGTTCCCATCCATCCCTACCCCCCTTTCCTTACCCCCTCCCATAATCTCCCCCGCCCCGTCCGGCACCCACCCTGCCCACAGGGGTTCCGGACCAGGTTGCGCCCGAAGGGCTCCAGGAGGCCGATCCGGCTCCACTGCGGTGAGGGGCAGAGGCGGGCGGCCGCTAGGATGGCCCCCAAGCGCGGCCACCTCTCGCCCTGCAGCCGCCAGACCGTGGGCCCGTCGATGAGGTCCCGCCAGCGGCGACACACCAGCCGGCAGCGGGTCACCAGGGCGCGGCCCGGGACCCAGCTCAGGATCAGCGCCAGCAGCTCGTCCGGCAGCCGGTTCAGCTCCAGCGGGGCCGGGAGAGATGGGGGCGCCGACTGTGGCCTGTCCGGGGAAAACGGGAGCGCCGAGAGCCGCGCCCTCTCCGGCCTTGCCCCGAAAAACAGGAGCCCGACCTGCCGCTCCAACTGCCGCCTGCTCTCCTGCTGCTGCTCCCACAGCCGCTGCCGCTTCAACTGCCGCCTGCTCTCCTGCTGCTGTTCAAACTGCCGCTCCAACTGCCGCCTTCTCTCCTGCTGCTGCAACTGGCGCTCCAACTGCCACCTGCTCTCTTGCTGCTCCATCAACTGCCTCTCCCGCTCCATCAACTGCTGCTCCCGCAGCTCCCACTGCTCCCTGCTCTCCTGCTGCTGCTCCATCAACTGCCTCTCCCGGTCCATCAACTGCTGCTCCCGCAGCTCCAACTGCTCCCTGCTCTCCTGCTGCTGCTCCATCAACTGCCTCTCCCGGTCCATCAACTGCCGCTCCCGCACCTCCAACTGCTCCCTGCTCTCCTGCTGCTGCTCCATCAACTGCCGCTCCCGGTCCATCAACTGCTGCTCCCGCAGCTCCAACTGCTCCCTGCTCTCCTGCTGCTGCTCCATCAACTGCCTCTCCCGGTCCATCAACTGCTGCTCCCGCAGCTCCAACTGCCGCCTGCTCTCCTGCTGCTGCTCCATCAACTGCCGCTCCCGCAGCTCCAACTGCCGCCTGCTCTCCTGCTGCTGCTCCATCAACTGCCTCTCCCGGTCCATCAACTGCTGCTCCCGTAGCTCCAAGTGCCGCTGCAACTGCCGCTCCAACTGCCGCCTGCTCTCCTGCTGCTGCTGCAACTGCTGCTCCAACTGCCGCCTGCTCTCCTGCTGCTGCTGCAACTGCCGCTCCAACTGCCGCCTGCTCTCCTGCTCCATCAACTGCTGTTTGCTCTCCTGCTGCTGCTCCATCAACTGCTGTTTGCTCTCCTGCTCCATCAACTGCTGTTTGCTCTCCTGCTGCTGCATCAACTGCCCCTCCCGCAGCTCCAACTGCCGCCTGCTCTCCTGCTGCTGCTGCAACTGCTGCCTGCTCTCCTGCTGCTGCTGCATCAACTGCCCCTCCCGCAGCTCCAACTGCTGCCTGCTCTCCTGCTGCTGCTGCAACTGCCGCCTGCTCTCCTGCTGCTGCTGCATCAACTGCCCCTCCCGCAGCTCCAACTGCCGCCTGCTCCCCTGCTGCTGCTGCAACTGCCGCTCCAACTGCCGCCTGCTCTCCTGCTGCTGCTGCAACTGCCGCCTGCTCTCCTGCTCCATCAACTGCTGTTTGCTCTCCTGCTGCCGCTGCAACGGCCCCTGCTCTCCTGCTGCTGCTGCAACTGCCGCTTGCTCTCCTGCTGCTGCTCCATCAACTGCTGTTTGCTCTCCTGCTGCTGCTGCAACTGCCCCTCCCGCAGCTCCAACTGCCGCCTGCTCCCCTGCTGCTGCTGCAACTGCCGCTCGCTCTCCTGCTGCTGCTCCATCAACTGCTCCCTGCTCTCCTGCTGCTGCATGTCCGCGGGAGCCCGGCTCTCTCTGCCGCACAGCGGCTTGGCTCGCTCCGGCCCAGCTCCCGCTCCTCGCTGCACCCGCTCACGGGACCCAGCTCAGGATCTGCGCCAGGAGCTCGTCCGGGAGCGGGTTCAGGTCCAGCAGGACCGGGGGAGCCCGGCTCTCCGACTGCCCCATGGCCGGGGGGCGGCCTGGCTCGCTCAGGCCCAGTTACTTTCCCCGCTGCATCCGCTCATGTGATCCCGGCCCCGCCTTGGAGCCGCCCCGGCCTCGTTTACACGGTGCAAAGCGAGCACCGGATTCCCCCCTTGCCCGCCAGGGGGTGCCTGGAACAGGCTCCGGGTTCCCCGCTCCGCCCCGCTGCGGGGTCTGACACCGGCTCTGGTCCCGGCTGCCAGCCGGCAAAGCCCCCACACCGGAAAAGAAGCTGGGAGAT